ACCGAGCTTGGCATTAGAATTTCGCATTGCACATGGAAAAGAATAATTAATTAAGGTTGCTCACGCATATTATTGTAGTTAATCTGTTGAATATAATTATTATAATAAGTTGCTTATTGTATTATTGGATGTTTTGCAGCTCATTCGGCAACGAACTAGAACCTACATCTAACTGGCTCGAATTGATATATTCTTGCTTAATAACAATGGCAGGATTGGTGCTCTTTGTTACACTACTTGGGAATATACAGGTGACAAATTTTAGCTTAGATGAGTTTCTAATTGGAGTTTAATTAAATAATTTGTCATGTTTTAAACTCAATAAATTAATATTAATTTTGCTATACCATCACCATCATGAATCAAGGTGTTTCTCAACATGGTCATGGCAAATAAGAAGAAAATTCAGCTGAAATATAGAGATCTGGAATGGTGGATGAGGAGGAGACAATTGCCTTCTCATTTGAGGGAAAGTGAAAGAGTTCGCCATTTTCAACACGAAAGCTGGGCAGCCATGGGAGGACAGGATGAGATCGAACTCATCCAAGATTTCCCTGACGGCCTCCGCAGAGATATCAGGCGTTATCTTTGCCTAGACCTTGTCAAGAAGGTGACGAACATACTTACATATAATATATATGTGTGCATTTGAATTTAATATTTGGTTTCTCTTCTAATAAATATAGAATGAGACTGATTTTTTTTTTTCTTTTCCTTTTTGATTGCCTCAAGGTTCCTCTGTTCCACATGCTAGATGATCTCATTCTTGACAACATCTGTGACCGAGTCAGGCCTCTAATTTACTCCAAGGGCGAAAAGGTGACAATTTTATTACAATGAAATAAGTGTTAATACGCACGTAGTGTTGTTTAGTATAACCATGGTCTATGAGCAACGTGGCAACGTTTTTTATTCAGTGGTAATTATCCTATGTGGTAGTTAAATACATAGAACTAGTGTAAGGTAACCCATTAAAGTTTTGTGCTGGTCCGGCAGTCGTACAGCTGACATCTACTAGCCTGTTTAACTTTGTCTCAATTTTTGCATAATAAATAAACACTAAAACTCTTTGTTGCTAGTTTAATTTGTTCTTTTTGATACGTGTTATTAGCTTAATTGGCTCTTTTTTGCCATTAAAGTACTCTAATTGGACTCTTATTCCTTACATTTACACTGTTTCTTTTATGAATTGTCATCTGTTATATTTCAGTTTAATCAAATCATCAAAAAAAAAAAAAAAAAGAAAAAGGCCCCGAAAAAAAATTTGAAAAAAGGTTAGCAAAAGAGAAAAAAAAAAAATACTCCAATTACCATTATTTCGCCACTAAAGCATTCTAATTTAACTAAGGCACAAATCAAAAGATTCAAAACTACGATCACAGTCATAGCATTAACATATTAATTGAACATCTACGACAAATATTGACATTATCTTTTTAATAGTACTGGTGGTAACATTTTTTTTCAAGTGACAGATGATTAGAGAAGGAGATCCTATCCAAAGGATGGTTTTCATCGTCCGGGGACGCGTAAGACGCAGCCAAGGCCTAAGCAAAGGCTTCCTAGCCACAAGCACCCTCGAGCCCGGCGGATTCTTCGGCGACGAGCTTCTCTCGTGGTGCCTCCGCCGTCCATTCGTGGACCGCCTCCCCACCTCCTCCGCCACCTTCACTTCCACCGAACCGATCGAAGCCTTCGCGATCGACGCTGACCATCTCCGGTACATCATCGATCACTTCCGCTACAAGTTCGCCAGCGAGAGGCTAAAGAGAACGACGAGATACTACTCCTCCAACTGGCGAACGTGGGGGGCAGTGGTCATACAGCTCGCATGGCGGCGATACCGGAGGAGGACTAAGGGAATTGCACCGGCTCCGATAAATGGAGGGACGACAAAGAATCGGCTCCGGCAGTATGCCGCCATGTTCCTCTCGCTCCGACCACATGACCACCTTGAATAGAACGCTTTTTTTTTTCTTTTTCTTCTCCAACAATAGAAGAGTTCAATATGTGATAATTAAGAAGATTGGAGATTAATTGTCTTTTTAATTTTTTTTTTCTCCAAGTGATTATTAGTACTGCTGAGCCTATTTCGCTGAGTTACAAAAGTGAACAGTTTTTTTTTTTTTTTTTTTTTTTTTTTTTGAGAATAATTGATTGAACAGTTTAGGTCCATATAAAACAAGTGACATATGCTTATGGTAATTAATCAGTAAGATTTGCAAAATAAATTAATAAATGTCATTAGTGGCGGTTAATTTTTTAAATAATAAAAAATAGCGTCTAGGTAGATCGTAGAGTCCTTGTATGCTAAATTATATGGATAAATTTATTTCTTCGACTAAATTTTGATGGCTTTTCATCTTGTCTCCTGAATTTGTAAAGTTGGGATTTGCACCCTTGAACTTAAAAAAAAAAAAAGTTAAGAAAATTATCCACATGTATCACTTAAATGGATAGGAATTAGATAAAATTACAACATTAATTATTATTTTTTCATTAGATCGAGTCTCATCTATCCACTAACGAGATTCACATTTTATGAATAGCGGAGTTTTCACTCATTAAAATGAATAGGGGTGCTTTTTTTTTTTTTTTTTTTCTATAACCGTGCCTTTACGAATTTTGTTGAAATGCTTCTAAAGAAAAATCTGATTATCATTCACCTGAGACCTGAGTGTTGAAAGAGAGAGAGAAAGGAGGAGAGATAGAGAGATAGAGAGACAGAGAGAGAGAAAGTGAGTGAGAGGAAGGAAAGAGAGAGAAAGAGAATTTGTAAAAAATGAAAAAAAAAAATGTTGTAGATTACTAGATTTTTGTTGAGAAAAAAATATTATGTAGACTATATGAAAAAATAATCTAGAGGAAGAAAGATAACCTACAAGTTATGAAAAGATAACTTACAGGTGATAAAAAATAACCTATAAAATATTAGTGACATAAAATAAATTAACAATGATAGAAATAAAATAGTGTTATATTTTTAATGACTTTTCTAAAAATTTCCCTAGGAATTATGATACTATAATTTGAAAAGTTAAAACCTAATTTAAGCTAAGAACTCTAGTTATAAACATAACAAATTACAATGATAAGAAAAGGTATGGCCACTACAATATGCAAAAAAAACAACAATTTTTACCTCTTAAATATTGTATAACCAACATATTCCTAAAGGTAAATTGGTTTTTATAGAACCATACTTTTTTTTTATTTACTCTATTATCTCTAATGATCATTCTTTCAACCCTACCATTTACTTAAAAAACAAAAAAAAATCTCGTGTCTATCATTTGGGCCTCCATTTCGAGCTTTGTCTTATGGGCGCATAATTTTTAAAAATACCCCTTGAAATGGAGCACATTTTATTTCTACTCCTTAACATTAGCACATGTATTTATACCTTTTAGATTGGAACTAGTCAAGGGGTAAATTTTTTAAAAATTGATACATTTAATAAGTCAGATACTTAAGAAGGTAAAATATGTAATTTTCTCGTCTGTCTCTAATTACTTTTAATTTTGTAATTTTTTTTCTTGTACCCATTTGCACTATAGGGTTGAGACTGATCTGTTCACACCAAGGCAACAATTCAAACGAGCGACCTTGTGCTCCTCACACAAAAAGCAAGAAGGGAAAAACAAAATAATAAAGAGAGAAAGTGGTTTGAGAAAATATGTATTTTTTTTTATTTCTCTCTTTAAAAAAAAATTAAGGTGGGAGATTCAAACTTTAAACCTCAATATTTAAAGTAAAAATATAGATATTGCTAACCAAAACTTGCAATCATATACTTTTGCCATTTTATTGTCAAGGTGGAAAAATATTCTATTTGCTTAATTATAAGAATTTATAATATAAACTAAACACGTCAATTATGCAAAATTTCCTCTTAAAAAAGCACTCTTTATCTATTTTATACTAATTTCATTATAGCCTTTTGTCTTCTATTTAATTAATTGTAGTGGTGACATAATAGGAGCATTCACATGTCTTCCTAAAGTGGGATTAATTCCAGATCCTCAAATAGACGATATTAGTTGATCGGGCAAACACCAGCATCCTCCAATTGCGTGGATTTAATACCATATAGCATCCGGTGACAGTATTGTTGGAGCAAAATTTCGTCCAACACCTATCTAACGTCCCTAGACTAATAGTTTGGATTGAATAAGTAAATTATCTAAGAAAATTAGAAAAACACTCGAAGAACACAAAGAATCTCTGAAGGAATAACAAAAACAAAATGAAGACAATCACAAGACAATTGTATTCAGAAATGAGTGTCCTTTTCCCTCTCAAATCGAGGAAATTTATAGTACATTAGAATTAAGGGAGTTTAATTCTTCCATTAATTCGAGAGTTTATTCTCTCTTAATTACAATGAGGCTCTTCACCTTTTTGTGAGTTAAAACTGATAAATAATCAATGAGAATTAACTTTCAACCATTCAATGTCTTCAATTAACATCGGTTACTTCACTTGATAACATCGCGCGACCTTTGAACTTTCTGCTCAGGAGAGCTTAGAATCGGGAGAACTTGAGCTCCGACAAGCCTTTAAATTTATTGCAGATTTAATGATTCTGAAAATGCTACCCAACAAGTATTATATGAAATACCATTTTCCGAGTCGATTTCTCGGATGACAGCAAGCTAGCAATAGAATTTATAATTGAAAGGCAAATTATGGTACTAAAATATACCATACTAACTCAGCTTTAAGTATATACCAAAGGTTCACTAACCTTAATTTTTCTAATCGCCCTAACATTTTTATCACGCACAATTATATATATATATGTATATATATCTATATATTTATAGAGATATGTATGTATATCTGTATGTATATGTATAGATTATATATATTTATAACCTTTTCCCTTCATTTGAATTAATTTTGGCGGAAGTTCACATCCTTTTGAGTATATATCATCAGGAATATGACAAAGAAAGCTCCTCAATGTGTTCATCTCCTCGCCATATTTTTCACCGTCTTTATGCTTCTTATGAACGTTGCTAAATAAGCACTTCCACTACTGATTACTCCTTTCAATTGTCATGAACTTCTATATGCTCTCTTCTCACAATTTTGTAGACTTAAAACTTTAAAAAGTGAATAAAACTCACGTACAGGTTTGATGCTTCGGAACCAAAAAAAAAAAAATCAACGTTTAAAAGAAGATAATTGTAGTTTGTACTATTATTTTAATTCGAAATTGTAGTTTTAATTCATGTTCCTGTAAAAAATTTCTAGTCCTTTTTACATACTTAGACATATATATATATATATATATTGTTCTGATCATATAGATTTAGAGAAGAGCATATATATATATATACACACACACATACAATATTGACCATATATATACATTCTCTTATAATTTGTAAATGCAAACAGTTGTGATAGAAGATGCAAAAAGGAGAGCGTGGTGTGCGGAGTTTGTAACGAGGCGTGTGGTATGACTGCTGAAGCATGGATTACGTCTGCTAGAGTCTTTTCTTAACGGTGTTATTTTTCTTAATTTTCCCCAAGTTGTAGTCTTTTGTTTTTTTTTCTGTCTTTTTGGCTGGAAGCATAAATAATGTTGGCACATTATAAACTCCTCTGATAAAGTGCACCGTTGCCTAAGGCCCCTTAAGCCCATCAAGGCTCCATCTTCACCACATTTCACGAATAATAGTAGGTATCCATATAAAAGCCTCTTTAAATGTGTATATCCCAAATTGCAACATATATAAACATTTCTCAAATGATCATGTTATACTTCTCAATTGATGCTTATTTCTCAACTCATAAATCCTGCGATTTTTATTTTTTACTTTCAAATCATGGCCTGATTCGGAGAAAATTTTGAAGAAAAAAAAATGCTAGCAAAAGATCTTAATGATATTTGGACTAATGAAATTTTTTTTAAAGAAAACTGAACATCATATTAAAAAGAAATAATTTTCTATAAATTGGACATTTTATAATACATAAATACTGGTGATCTATTTAACTATTAGTTATTAATAGGCTTAACATGAAATTTTCGCCCAAGGCCCCTTGCGTCTTGAGCCGGGCCTGCTATTATCGTATGTACAAGCTTTATTGACCTCTTTATATAATTCTTCTCTACTAAAACATCCAACCATTTCGTACAGCTGACAACAATTAATTATACGCCCGATCAACAATTATTTTTTTAAAAATTTTCCTTTTCTAATGAATGCGATTGTACTTTTTTGTTGGACGATCAAATAAGTACCTTAGGAACTTCATTTGGATATTTTGATATATACACACACACACACACACATGTGCATGTTTTAATAAGATAATTATAGTACTGATTTTTTTTTTCTCCTAGTGAGGGAGATGCATCTTTGCAGAAGATGTAACAAGCGGGGTTAGTGCATACATTTTACCAATTTTACAACAAAGAAGTGAATCATGAGTTCCATTTTTCTGTCAGCATCACTCCAAGTGTGATATGAGGATTTGAACATTATTAAATTTCATCATAGAAGGCGCGGGGTGTAGATTTACAATTAGGCAAACCAACAACCACTTCATGAGTTGTTTTTTTTTTTTTCATATTTTTTTTAGAAAAACCACTTCATGAGCTTTAGTTTTATGTAGCATAAAACTACTTTTGGTTGACTAACTAGAACTTGTCGTTTAGTTTATTACTGACTCCTGAGAAAAGATTCTTAACTTGGATGAAAACAATCCTGTAACAATGACCAATATTCCAAGTTTCTGACCTTTTCTTTCAATTGACTATTTCTAACTATCATTGGGCAAAATTTAGCTCTATGTGCATGTTTGGTTTGAGGATTCAAACCACTCTAGTTTCGATTATAGTGTTTTCTCTCACAAAATTTAAATTCAAACCAATCCTCAAACCAAACAAGCACTGGAATTAGAATTCCTATAGACATATGGTATAGCCAGATCATATACAATTATCCATTTTGATCAGTTCTTTCGGCCCAATGTGCATGCACATTTAGAATTCCTATTTTAATTACCTTTCTATTGTACAAGATTCCCATTTTCATCTACAAGTGCTTTTTACTCACTCTCATCTATACGGTTTTTGCCCTTTCAGGTCTTCTCATGGCTATAATCTTGTAAATTCAGTTGCTTAGATACATATATGATGAAGACCAAAAGGGAAAATCGTAGTTCTGCTCTAATTAATTAATTATAAACTATTCATCGATTTGTTGTTCTTCTAATTTTGTTTACCGAGTGAAACATTCAATCTTTGCTAGCTTCCAGCAGCTAGCTAGTGCGGGAAATATGAGTACTCTACCTCGATATGCTCGCTTCCTGGCAATCCTCTTCTTCATCAGCTTTATGCTTCTTATACACATGGGTAAGAACTCTTTGTTCGTGTGTCTATTAATATAAATACACAAATTGTGAATCGATTATAACTGCATTCAGATTAGATTTGCATGCTAAAAAAATATATATATATATTTTAATCCTGTTGGTATTGATTATGATGTGTTTGTCATAAATATTTATAATATGTCTATGCACACAGGGGCGGAGCTATGTGAGACCCAGGCCCGCTATTCCCTTTATGATTTTGCTTCTCTTTTAAAAAAATTTGCACTATTCTCCTCCATTTGTCCTTCCTGATTTCTTTTTTCAACATTTACATGATATTTTTAGAAAAACTTTAATTATACCTTAAGTTTTGTTTCTTTTAAGTACTCTTATTCCAAAATTAAAATCTCTAATAAATCAAAATTCATTTATGCTACTATACAAATTCACAAATAGAAAAATAAAGTTAAAGAGGCTATTTTGTTGTAGTTTAGTTCAAATTTTTTGTTTGATTTACGCCCACTGAAGAAAAAGTCTGGTTTTGCCACTATATACACACATGTTTAGAAATAACCTATACATACATATGCTATATAATAGCCATATACATGTTATACGCGTGTATATATATATATATATATATACATATATATATATATATGCGCTATGGCCGCCTATGACCTTTCCTAATAATATCTGCAGGAGACTCTATGGAGCCACTTGGTTGGTATAAGTGTGCTCTCAAAGACACAGGTATTACTAGCAAATGCCATATGCGTAAAAGCAAAACATTTAAGAAGTGCTGTAGAAACACAACTCGGTGTGATAACAAATGTAAACGTCGAGAAGGAGCAACTTGTGGAGTCTGTAAAATTTATATCGCCAGGGCTCAGGTGGGCATGTGCTTGCTTACACTGTTGATCCCCTCAGCCTCTTTTTGGTCCTTTGGTAATTGGAAAGTGTACTAGATATTGTATGTAGCACTTGATCTCTCTTCTGCCAAATATCCGTTGTGTGCCATTAATTTGCAGCGATGATATAGTAATTTCACTTTGTATCTAGCTAATACATATTTACATTTTTCCTTGAAAGTACATCTATATGATTTCTATTATCAACTATATGTATGAAGATTTAATGAATGAAGATCCTCTATGATCTCCTTTCTTTGTTGTGTTATGTACCCTTATATAAGATATTAATTCTCATCTTTATACCCTGGAGTTTAGGATCATTCCCCACGTCGCTCCTGAGCATCAGAAACTTTCGCTATGCCTTTTCAATTGAGTCCCACTTAAAACCCCTTTATCAAAATTTTTATTAAAAACAGAAAAGAAAAGAGGAATTTAAGTGTACATTGTCCTAATTAAGTGTAATCACATTGTCCTTTTGACTTTTTTATGTTTCTTTTTAATATAAATTCTAACAAAGAGAGCTTTTTTTCTGTTTATTTTTAACATAAATTCTAACAAAAAGAGCTAAATAAATTCTAACAAAGAGAGCTAGTAACTGAGACTGATTTAGAATGCTGAAGAATAAAATGAGAGTTTCTAAAATTTGAGGTACAAATATGAGAAAAGGTCTAAAGTTCGGGAAGCGCTAATGAAATTGCCCCCTAATATAATACCACTATTTTTAACTTGTACGCATCATTTAACCAAACAAGCTTTTAGTGGAATTTAGTCAAGTAAAATCACACTCTTTTAATTTTCTCATGCTTTAAAGCCTAGCTAAAGCACAACGAGTTTGGTAAATAAATTGATTTCTTTTTCAGCTAAGAGAAAAGTAACTTTGATTCTCATTATTTTACTTTGCCGATCCACAATTATTATGTTTTGATTACCACCTCTTCTCAACTCAAGCTTTTAGTCCAAAATATTGTAAAATTGTGAACAAAACTAATCCGGTAGCAATATACATATAAATTTGGGAATTGAAATTTTCTTGCAATATTCAAATAATGTCTAATACGCTTAAAAAAATCCAAACTGGTCTTTTATAGAATTTCAGAGATTTACAATGTATTTTGTTAAACATTAGGTCAGATTAACGAGTTTAAGTAGCTGAAGTACTAAAAACAAATTGACGTACAGATTAGTATAAATCAAGTAGGCCAATTAGAATTAGAATTTCTTTTCAAACAAATTGACATTCGATCATTCGAAATAATAATCCAATGCCATTTTCCTCTACAGTTTTAATTCAGAGACGATCGAGACCACAATATACTGCGTACGGTAGACTTGCAGTTGAAGGCAAATTAAGGACGCCTATGCAAGGGAATCAAATTGTGGATAGTCCTTCATAACTCCTCCTAATTTTGAATTCGCCATTTTTTTTTTCAATAAATCATCTTCGAAATCTGATTTTTCATGAAAGGCTTATTATTATTGTTATTAGTTTAAGCGCTTTTGCAGTTGAACGCCTCTTACGTTTCACTATTATATTAATCATCAATCAACCAGTTTTAGAGGTGGGAAAAAAACTATATACTTCAAAACAATAATATAGATTTATGTTTATCAACTCGACACGTGGCCAACTGCATGCAAGTTTGAATCTCCTCCCAGGCTCACCAGCCTGCCTTACCCCTCTGCATTGTGACACGTAAGCACATACATACATATCTGTATATCTCTACACAAATTAACACATATGCATACACCAAAATGTAAATCCACCAAAATATTATATGGTAATTCAATCAAATAAACTTTCAAGAGCCAGACCAAGGAATCAAACTAATTATTTAAACATAACAAGATAAAATCGAGCACAAGATTATTCAAGCAAAAAGGAAATTAAAAAAGTTAATATAACACTTTGATTCCCCATACAAAGACTAAAACATAACTAGACACCCCCACATTAACACACACACACACATGAAAAACTCCGACCATATTATAATTACTAAAATAACATGAACAAAATTAACAAAATTAACAAAAGCAGTAATTTAACTTCTTCCCCTCATCCACTCAAAGCACATGCAAAGCTCTTTGATCTTATTATTCCGACAAACATCCCTAAATCATGATCATATCATCGCCACGTCATCATCGGAAAACCCGAAAAAGCAGAAACTAAGAAGACTGCTGCTGACCGGAGGTGAGGTGCTGCTGGCCAAACTGCTCGGCCTTGTCCTTCATCTCTCTTGCCTTGCTGGCCAGCTTGTGGCGCGCCTGGTCCAGCTGGTCGGCCCCCGGCGGGTGCTTCCCCGTCACGTACCGGTAAATCCACGACAGCACTGAGATCGCCGCCACGCCAAAGCCGCCGGAGGCCAGGAACCCCGTGATGATCAGCCCCACCGTTATCACCGCCGGCACCAGCACCGGGCTAAATATCACGAACAGCGGCGTCGCGATCGTGAGCGCGATCACCGTCCCCGCCAGGATCAGCCCCGACAGGACGAGCATGGACCCACCGGCCGTCACTGCCGTCGCCGCCTTCACCACCTGGTGGGACCGGGGCTGCTGCTGCAGCTGATCCCCCCGCTCCCCACGCAGCTGCGACTGTTGGTGCTCCGCCATTTGATCGAAGATGATCGGACGGTAATGGAGAAGTTTAGGTTGAAGTTTGATCAGAGATCTAGTGATTTTTTTTTTTTTTTTTCCTTACGAGTGGTGGATTTGGGGTGACAAGGGATGGAGAGTTTATATAGGAGGAAAGGTGGTGAGAGGAGGAGAGTGTGGAGTAGCACGTGTAGAGGAAAGGTGTGGCACGTGTTGAGAGGCTCTCATGCAGGGGTTGCATGCAACTCAGTGCCCTTGTATTGCGACACCTTGTTTTTTGTCGCCACCCGAGAGTATGTTTCCTCGTTTGAACGTAAAGAAATTATTATTGGGAAAAAGGGCAAATTGGTGTTTTTTTGTTTTTTTTGTTTTTTTTAAAGAATCCGAGGACAATAATGTCATCTAGCTGTGATGATCAAAGTGTGGTGGCGTTTCATACCATGATTCTTTCGGTATTTTCACACGTAAAGAAAGAAAAAGCTGAGCAAAAAACCAATTGATCATATCTGCAGCGAACAACGTACACGAATAATTGTGGCACAATCTCCACTTCTATAAAGAATTAACCATCCAACAATAATGTTAAATCACCTAAGGAAGTTGTTATGAAAATTTAGCCGTGCTTGATTCTGTTTGTGCTGAGCAATTCTTTACTTGTTGAATCTCGACATTTGTATTTATTTTGTACTTCATCCGTCTCAACAGATAGATCCAGTTAATATTCAAAGTTGAATTTTCTTAACGTTAATAGTCATTTACAACTATTATTAAGTTTAAGTCATTGGTTAAATTTAGAATGAAATCTTCCGTTCAAAATAATTGACTAATAGAAGAGAGAGAGAGGGGTTTAGAATTAACTCCATTTTACTTGAGAAAATTTCAAATAAAAAAAGTTAGAAAAAATGGAGAATTTATTTTAAGAGTGCATAAATATGAACATTTACTTCTTATTCTTGATAAATACTCATTTGTTAGTATAATTATTTGACTAAAAATGTTATAAATTAAGAATAAAGGGTAAAAATCTCGACTCATATACTTTTAAAAAATATTTGTTAAGATTATCCAAAATGTTACGAAAATTCTTGGATAATCTTTGACAAATACTGCTTGAAAGTGTATGAGTCAGGATTTTTATCATTTATTCTTAATTTATAACCTTTTTAGTTAAATAATTACACTAATAAAAGTGTATTTATTAAGTGTAATGGGTAAATGTCCTGACTCATACACTCTCAGGTAAATTCTCAATTTTTTTAATATTTTTTTATAATTTCTACTAGGGAGAAAGAGGAAAATAGGCCAAGACTTGAGATCAATTAAAATTAATAGGCTAATAGTTTATATACGTTAATAAATAGGTCAAATTACTATTTTTGTCCATAACTTGTCTAGTTATGAACCATAACTTGACAAGTTATTGTCCATAATTCACAGTTTTTGTCCATAACTTATCTAGTTATGAACTATAACTTGATAAATTTATCCATAACTTATCTGATTATGAACTATAACTTGATAAGTTATGTCCTATTAATTTCTATAACTAAAAATTTACATATATACTTTCTTAAATTTTTTATACGGGTCTATTTTCTATTTCCGAGGGCCAAACACCAAAGAAAGTGGATATTGGCCCATTTATATAAAATGGGCTATCCTCTACTTTACTTCAGGGCCAGGTAAGGCCCATCTCACTCGGCCCAAGAAGGGAATCAAAAGGGGAAAATGAAGCGAATTCTCCGATTCCGCGACTGAGAAAGAAGAGTCCTTGCCTGGTAAATACTATACGAGGTCGCTCTTCTTGGTGGACAAGCTAGATCTGTAAACTACCGATCACCATGGTAACTCCTTCTCTTTCTCATCCATCGAATACAATTCTCTTTCTGGGTATTCAATTTTTGTTGAAAATTCTGTTCGCATTCAACTGATTGTTCCTTTTTTTTTTTATTTGCTCCGAAATTTTTGAAAGGTCCTTTTGCAGCCAGATCCTTTTCTAAATGAGCTCACTAGCATGTTCGAGCGAAGCACCGAGAAAGGCTCCGTTTGGGTCACGCTTAAGCGATGTATATATCTATCCATAGCTGTGTTTAAGGGGGTTCAATTATTTCGTTATAACATATATGGATTATTTTATTTCTCAATTGGGTTTGCTTTTTTTTTCTTCGATTATCATTGTAATTGCGTTTGCATATTTGGCTTTTTTTCTTTTGATAGCGTCGTTGAAATCAAAGGTGCAGAGGAATAAGCAGAAAACTGACGGCGAAGCGATTGAGTATCGATGTCTTATTCGCGCTACAGACGGGAAGAAAACAATTTCCACTTCGGTATGTTTTGATGAGTTATTATTATTTTTGTATAAAAAAAATGTCATCTTATTTGGTTTAGAATCTTTTTAGTATTAACCCATTGGAAATGTTGTTTGACTTCTTTTATTTTTAATGCAAAATTAATCAGGTTTTTATTTTCTTTCAATGGATTTCATTGCCCAGTTAGTATTAATTTAGTTAGAGAACTGTAACTGTTTAATTTCCTATTCCTGTGAGCGAACATGATTTAGTATTGATTTCCATGTTATGATAAAATGTAGAGTTTTGAAAAATAGTTAGATTTGCCGTCTGGAAGCAAAGTTTGGATTCAATTCCTCTTAATTTGTCAATGCTGGAATTAAGGAGAATTCTAATTTGTGGATGAGTTGGTGGTTGTTCTTTACGAGAAAATGGGGAAATAGAATAGGAGTATTTGAACTTTCATATGCTTTTTGAGCCTTCATAAGCCAATTATAAGACATGCATTATGCAAGTCCCATGTTGAGGTAGGAGAACTCCTTTAGAGCTATGTGGGATCAGGTGGCAAGCTCTGATCAACTGAATTGGAAGGTATTAGTCTAAATACGTCGATTGGCATGATACCATATTTTTTAAGAAACTCCGTTCAGGAAGCTTACTTCTCTTGGGGAATTAATTGAAACCTGTCCGTAAACGCATCATATGTGTTCTCATTCTGCCGGTGGCTGTAACAATGTCCTGATGATGTTTTGGCAAAAGCTGTGATTGTGGTTGGATTTGTAGTGTGGAAAGGTTGATATTATGTGGAGGTGGAAAGCTTGATATTACATAGAGGACTATGGAACCAAGATAAAAACTTTCATCGTTAGAGAGTACTCGAGAGTGATAAGGTAATGAGCAATATGGCTCAGAAGGAGCACTTTTAAGGTCTTTCCATCGTCAAATTAAGGTGTCTATGAAAGTTTGTCGATAAACTGTTTTGAGATCTTGATAGTGGAAATATCTAGTATTAGAGCTAACAGACACTGGCTTATACATATTATGCTGGTTAATTATAATGAGAAATTGCTGTTAACTGGAATGCTTCTTTTTCTCTTTTTCTTTTTCTTTTTCCGGTTAAGTCCAATCCTGTTTGTTTAAAGCTTTTATGTTTTACCTTTATACTTGTCTCCTAGGTGAATTTGCACCTACAATTTGACTCAGACTGGTAGCTTAAAAGAACATTAGTTTAGTAAATACTTTGATTTCTTTCTCATTTTCTCATCCTCCTAAATCTTTCCTGATAGCATCATTTAGTCTTTTTCTATGAGTTTTTACTTTTTAGACTTATAGCTTAGCTTTGCTTGTGGTAGATTGATTTGTCTTGTTTTTCTTTTTTCCTTCATGCAACATGGCTGACTGTTGTCGCTGATTTATTTATTGGAAGGTCGGAGCCAAGGATCATATGCGGTTTCAAGCTTCATATGCTACCATTCTAAAGGCCCACATGACAGCTCTTAAGAAGAGGGAGAGGAAAGACAAGAAAAAGGCTGCTGAGACCGATCGGAAAGACGGGGCAGGTGCGAAGAAGCCCAAGAATGCGTAAAGAAGTCTCTTCGTTTCTTCTTATACCAAAAAGCCTTTATAAAAACAACTTTGTGCTTCTTCCAACACTTTTTTGGAGAGAGAGAGAAGACTTTTTTTTTTTTTTTTTTTTTTTTGTTGTTGCAAGAAATCAGTCAAATTATAGGGATTGAAGAATGTGGATTTTTGTTTAGCTTCCCTTTTCCTTTCTAGATTCTGTTCTTATTGGATGATAGCTTTGATGATGTAATTGAAATCGACATCTCCAAAAGCTTTTCTGGAAAACTTGCTATTATACTGATGTTTTTATTTTTATTTTTATTTTTTGCTTGAAACAAATTTGTATCATGAATTTGTTGCTAGTAGAGGAGAAATATTTTTGCTCAAGATCCCTAAACTAGGCTTTAGGTTACACATATCGTTCCACGGAAATTTAAAGAATGAGAAGTACAATGAAGAACTACTGTGATCAAAGCTTGATTTTTACCTCTTTTACCAGATTTAGAGCTAGCTTACAAACTCACCAAGGTCGTTAGACAAAAAGCCAGATTTTGACCAGCTTCTAGAAACAGCTGGAAAAACTCATATTTTAGGAACAAATCCCATAGAACATTGGAATAGAAACCATTTTAAGGCAGAAATTGTCCCCATTAATCCAGACTTTAATTATTAAAACAGAAGAAATAAAATATACGACATAGGATAAGAAAGAATTTGAGATACAAAATCAAAGAACTTCTAGATATGAAAGTTATTAGAAAAAGTTTTGGTCCCCATATATCTGCAGCGTTCATGGTTAGAAATCTCAGAAATAGTTGAGAAGAAAAGCCAGAATGGTTAGAAAAAATTTATTAAAAAAAAAAAAAAGGAAAAAAAAAGAAAAAAAAAAGAACACGCTACGCTATGTTAAAACCAGATTCATCTGGTACTACTAATTCTAAATTTACGGCTGAGTGTCCTCCCCCCCGAGTCTTTAACTAATTACAAATTCACATATTAACGATAATACTCTATTATTTATTTTAATATAAAAATTCACATCATTTATAAAACAATCAACAGTCCCATTGACCCAAAAAAAAAAAAAAAAAAAAAATCTTCACAGAAGAAGATATTTAACATTTCTGGCTGAAATAAAAGGACAGACAAAGACTAGTGTAGCAAATGTTATTTGGTCAAACCCGTTACCTCCCAACATAACCTAAATGCTACGGCGTGTATTCAGTTTATATCATGTTTGGTCATAAGCAAAAACACTAGATGTCAATGTAACTATTTGCTTCCTTTTCTTCCACATCTAGTGGGGTTAAAAGATTAAAGGGTACAGCAAATTTTTTGAAAAAAGAAGTATATATAGGCTCCGTTCACTTCGCTGATTCGAGTTTAGAATTTGAGTTTTTCTACAGTAAAAAGCTCTCACAAACAATCACATCTAACCTTTTTGCTACAGTAAAAAACTCTCACATAAAATCACATCTCAACTCAAATTCTAAACTCGAATCAGCGAAGTGAACGGGCCATATAATATATTGTTCATTTCCGTCTTTCCCCCGGCTTAATTGTTCTCTTAATGTTTACATTTCGTGGAAGTCAAGCACCGACCGAAAATGCTGCATTAAGTTGCTTACAATTACATTCTACTAAGTAATTGATTCCTAATTAAAATTATGTTCATTCACTTGGAACTTAAATGTTTAGGATTGTAGTGTTTTGTTAAATCCGCGCAACAACACTTTGAGTGCGTTTACCATACTATAAAAGAAGGTAATAAGAAACGTAATGAGATTAGAAAAAAAAAGTAAAGTAATAGAATTTAGAGTCATTCATTTATTTTCAAGTGTTTATTTGATTATTTAATGGTGTAATGAGAAACAATCTCATACTCTTTTTTATGTTTACAAAAATTAAGAATAGCAATGTTATGAATGTAATCACTAAAATGTCATTTTACACAATTTGATAATAATTAATTATATAGTAATTCATTATGGATAAATGAGTAAATTTAACACTCATTCCTTTTTACAAGGAATCAATACTAAAAAAGTGTAAGGATTGTCATTTCTTATATTGTGTGTAGCCTATTAAATCTATATTATTAATTTTATAAGTAAACACATTATTATATAGAAAAGAAAATCAATCATCACTTTCTCTTTCTCTTTCCCTTTGGTACAAAGTAAACATGCCCAAAAGAATACTTCATAGAGGTTTCTATCCATCTATCTATTTTTTCTTTTGGTTACTGACACTAATAATTCCTAAACTTCAAAATAGTGACATTTTAATTTCAAAACTTTTATTTTTAATATATTAATCCCTCAATTTTTAATTTTTGACAGATTTCGTCCTTAAATTCAAATTGACGAATGATTTCTGTTGCAAATATAAGTTTTTTTTTTTTTTTTCTTTTTTTCTTTTTGGTTGCTAATCAAACCGAAATTTTGATACAAATACAAGTTGTTCCCATAAACACGACCTTGCAGTTTTATCCCTGGTAAGATTATCATCAAGTTTAAATTTGTTTAAATTCGAAGATTGCTTTCAATCTAGTTGTTAATTTCAAATTGAATGAGATATTCATGTATTCACTTTCGTAATCTAACCCTCTTTTTCCGTATCGTACAACTACTTAAGAATTTAAAGCTTAATTAGTAAATTTGATCTCAAACTTATCTATACCAAACTAATTCACTGTATAATTTTATGAGAATATATAGTTAGGTTAGCGAAAGAGAATAGATAGTTAGGTTATTTATTTGAAAACCATGATGTCAGTTTATTTACTTTATCTTGTCAAAAACACGTAAGCTTAAACGTACTAGTAGTACCTCCCTGCTAGATATTATGCATAAAGCAAGTGCATGCATTTAGAGAAAATTATTAGTGCAGCCTGAAGTCTTCGAGGAATGACTGACTTTTGACTTTTTTTTTTTTTTTTTTTCCAAATAAGAAAAACAAAATTTTATGCATTTGGTTTAATATAAAAATAGAAAAGGTTCAAAAACAAAACAGAGTTGCAGGTAGTGCTGGAACTTCGGGTCGGCGGGCCGCTCGAAGTCCGAATTTTTTCGGGCTCGGGCGGGCCGGCCCAATTCCCGCCCGTCCAAGCAAGAAATTCGGGTTCGGGCTCGGGCAGCCCGGATTTGACATGTCCACCCTTGCCCGCCGCCGTTTAACCACCGTATACTGCCGTCCGCCGGGATTTTTTTGCATTTTTCCGACCAAGACCGAACTGCCCGACCCGAAAATTGCCCGAAAATTGGGTGTGCCCGAATTGCCCGACCCGAAGCCCGAATTTTTGAATTTTGCCCGAATTTTTCCCGACTTGCCCGACCCGCCCGAGGTGCCCGATTGCCCGAATACCCGAAAACGGCTAGCTTTTTGAATTTTGCCCGAAAACGGCTAGTTTTTTGAATTTTTACCCGAATTC